CAAATCCCAGAGTAAATACTATAAAACTAGAAGACTTTGCTGCCAGTGGTCCCCCAGTCTTCTAGAGCTGTGCTGACCAGTCATGGCCAGGGGAAGGATGGGAATGAAGGAGCGTTCAGCTTTTTCCAAGGGCCGATGGTTCCTTTTCTTTTTCAGAGATCCTAGACTTTGGCTATCCACAGAACTCAGAGACAGGTGCACTGAAAACTTTCATCACCCAGCAGGGCATCAAGAGCCAGGTATTCAAATTATACAGCCACAGTCAGGGTTGAACCCAACCTCCTTTCATCTAAGCTGGCCCCTGAGCCTTGTCCTAGCTGACTTATGAGCCTGCCTCTGACAGGAAGTGCTGGCCTGAGCCTTCTGCCATGACCACAGGCCTATTTTGCTCTGCGTGACCCTCTCCCAACTCAGGAGCAGCCGACTCAGCACCTGTTACTGGGAATATAGCTCAAGGAGTTTCCTTCCACACTGGGAGAAGGGGAAATTTGGCTTGCTCTGGAGGCCTCATGTTCCTTAGGAGGAGAGAGCTTGGGCCCTATGGGATCCAGGCCTCATAGCCTTCTTCTCCTCCTTTTCTGCCTGCTTCTTCCCGTCTGTGTTCCCCTACTGCTTCCTGTGGGCTCCACATTGGCCTTGTGGCCTCCAGCATCAGGTAAGCTATTCCCTCAGTTTCTACCCTTGCAGCTTTGCTCCATTTTCTCCAGGCCCTGTCCCATGGGGCTTGTGGGGAAGGATGGGTTCTAGGGTGGGGACTAGAACAGAGGGGAGATGAGGGAAGAATGGGGATAGACAGGAAGATTGAAGGTGGAGAGGAGTGAGGCCATTGCTGTTTGTTTTTATCTCCATGTAGACAAAAGAAGAGCAGTCCCAGATCACCAGCCAGGTGACCGGGCAGATTGGCTGGCGGCGGGAGGGCATTAAGTATCGCCGGAATGAGCTTTTCCTGGATGTGCTGGAGAGTGTGAACCTCCTCATGTCCCCACAGGGTGAGGGCCCTCTTGTGATAAGCTGGAGGGGGACTGGGGCAAGGTCCTGGTCCTCATTCAGCTGTTGCATTTATGTGTCTATCACCAGGGCAGGTGTTGAGCGCCCATGTGTCGGGCCGGGTGGTGATGAAGAGCTACCTGAGTGGCATGCCTGAGTGCAAGTTTGGAATGAATGACAAGATTGTCATTGAGAAGCAAGGCAAAGGCACAGCTGATGAAACAAGCAAGAGGTACCTGAGGCAGGAGGCAGAAGTACTGGTAGGAGAGGGTGGACCGTGGAGGGCTGAGTGGAACCTGGTGAATCACAGGTTCCTTCTCGACGTCATTTCTGCAGCATTGCAAACTCCCTCTTCCCAAGGGTGAGCTTGCCTGGTTGCTTTTGATTTCTGTGCTTGAGAGAGATGAGGGGATTGTCTTCATTCTACTCAAAGTATAAGCCCCTTTGTTTGGTCCCCAATACCAAGGTTCTTCTATATATATGACCTCTGCCCAGTGTACTTGAAACCTCTGGGTCCCAAGCAGCAGAGCTTTCAGAGATGATGGCCTTGCAAAGCTACCACTCATCTCTGACTCTGGGGCAGGGACCCCTGAGTCAGAAAGATGCTTCCTGGCAACTTTCCGTAGTCTGTAGTGGAAGCCTTGCCCAGGTTCTGTCAGCGTTTGGGAGAGGAGGGGTAGCCTCTCTGCTCACCTCCTTCCTGCTACTCTCCTGTACCAGTGAGGAGATTTTCTGCCCCTTCTTGCAGCGGGAAGCAATCAATTGCCATTGATGACTGCACCTTCCACCAGTGTGTGCGACTCAGCAAGTTTGACTCTGAACGCAGCATCAGCTTCATCCCACCAGATGGAGAGTTTGAGCTCATGAGGTGCCATTGGGGTGTGAACAGATGGGGGGGCTGCTGCTGGCAGGCAGTAGGGAAGAGAGGAGGACAGGTTCTGCTATGCTAACCTTGCTCCCCACCCCTAAAGGTATCGCACCACCAAGGACATCATCCTTCCTTTCCGGGTGATCCCTCTAGTGCGGGAAGTGGGACGCACCAAACTTGAGGTCAAGGTAGTCATCAAGTCCAACTTCAAGCCGTCACTGCTGGCTCAGAAGATTGAAGTAAGGACAGGGACTTGGGGAGGAAGAAGCACTTGTCTCTGAGAATAAAGGCAGCTGATGTCAGGACTTGACAGAGCTCCCTGACAGGTGTGTCACTTGTAGGTGAGGATCCCAACCCCGCTGAACACAAGTGGGGTGCAGGTGATCTGCATGAAGGGGAAAGCCAAGTACAAGGCGAGTGAGAACGCCATCGTGTGGAAGTGAGTCTTTCCTTCATGAGATCACAGCAGGGTTCAAGATGCCTTTTGTTCAGTTTAACTTTTGTTCTCTTAAGTGTGTATGTTGGTGCGGGGGTGGAGAGGGTAGGGAGTGCCTGTCTGCTTCTCTGGGAGCCTCTGCTTATGCTCTCACCCCTTATATCTTTGAGTGTGCACATGTTTACACTTGTTTGTACGTATGCATTTATTGAGATGTTTTAATGTTTTCCCATTTGTCCTTGTAATGTGTCTGCGAAGTAGACGGAGAGTAAGGGATGGCATGCCCATGTTATCTAAGCAGAAACTGCAGCCCACAGTGCTAAAGGAAAGCAGACCCAAGGTTTCATAGCAAATGGTTATTAAGGTCCTCACAACATTTCCTTGTTCTAGCACCTCCCACAAGCTCCTGAATTTTCTCCCCCACCCCTTTGAAATTCCTGCAATCTACCAGGGGCACTTGCTGCCCATTGCTTCTGTGTTCCCAGGATCAAGCGCATGGCAGGCATGAAGGAATCACAGATCAGCGCAGAGATTGAGCTTCTGCCCACCAACGACAAGAAGAAGTGGGCTCGACCGCCCATTTCCATGAACTTTGAGGTATGGCAGAGGAGGGGCCTAGAGCCATAGCAGGGTATGCTAGGAAAACTCTTAGAGATCATTCAGATCGACCTCTGCACCTTACCACCTGCAGATAAGAGAACAGGCCTAGAGAGGGGAAATGACTAATTTATAGACCCACTCTTCTTCCTTTAGGCCTCCAACTAGAAATTGCTATTCACTCTAACAAAAATCTTTGACTTCTTTTGGCTTGTAGTAAAGTAATTCTTTGGAAAATTGTAGATTGTTTGAATGCTAGATAAAACACAGGGTTTACTTACAGACAGGAAAATAGGCTGACTTTGCTTTGTGCATGTTAGACACACAATTTTCCGCACCTAATTTTTTAAATCCGAAACATTGAGTAGGAAAAGTATGTTCTAAAGCACGTCTTTGGTTGCTGCTTCTTGCAGATTAAAAGAATTGATTCAGGTTATCACAGGCGTGACCTGACTTCAAACCTAAATGATTGCTAGTTACTCTTGGACATGCTTTCTTCTTTAGTAACCTCTTAGAGGATCCCTCACTACGCGCCTTTACCCAGCTTCTTTCAGGACCCCAATCATTCAAATACCTGTAGTAGAGAGAGATGAAGTAGGGTAGGGTTATAGAACTTCCCAGAGGAGAGTGGCTGCAAGAGGAAGGCTACATTCCTAACTGGAGCTGTCCCTTGCCCAGGTGCCATTTGCGCCCTCTGGCCTCAAGGTGCGCTACTTGAAGGTGTTTGAGCCGAAGCTGAACTACAGCGACCATGATGTCATCAAATGGGTGCGCTACATTGGCCGCAGTGGCATTTATGAGACCCGCTGCTAGCTGCCTAGTGGCAGTTAGCCCGCCTCCCCACCTACCCTCTTCTACAGGTCCAAGTGCCCCTGGCCACCACACATCAGTGTCTCCTCCCTCCTGCTTTGCTGCCTTCCCTTTGCACCAGCCCGAGTCTAGGTCTGAACCAACCACATCGTAAGTGGGGCTGGTAGAGCCATCCCTGGGCTTCCTAGGCAGTGTGATTTCTGGGGCTTCTGCTTCTCTATCCATGTCTGCCCTGGCCCAGTGCCAGGCTCTGAGTTCTGTGACCAAAACCAGGTGGGCTTCCTCTCCTTCCCTCCCCTGTGGCCACATCTTTTGAGTGGGAGGGTTGGCTGCCCCTCACCTCAGAGCTCCCTGACGGCCAGTAACAGATTCCCAGCCCCCAGTCCCTACTCTGCTTTGGGATAGTGTGAACTTCATTTTGTACGCGTGTGACTTTGTCCAGTTATAAACCCAATAAACTCTATAGAGTGGAGTTGCTGGCTAAATATTGATGTGAGAGCTTCTTGGGGAGGGGAACTAACTGGTGGGACCGCTATTCTCTTGTCCTGTGCTGCCTCCTTTAAGTAGAATTATCTATTAACTCTCTCAAGGCTCTTCCCTTGTCTTGGTCTCAATTGTTAGACCCCTCCAAGGCCATCCAATCTCTAATTGGAATTGAGTTAGCCCCAAGTCTTCCCCGTTTCTGAGAAGGAAACTGTTTCAAGGGCCAGCAGCCCCACGTGGCTCCAGTTCTCTGCAGGTAGAGATTCTTCTTGATTCAACCCTAGCCTTGGGCAAGTATTTTCTAATTAACAGAGATTAAGCATAGTTTACATTTGTTCTTTTTCAGCCTTCCTGAGAAACTAACCTCTTAATTCCATTTTCTTCCTAATTGCCCAGTTTTAAGAGACCTAGATAGGTGGGTGGTAAAAGAGAAGATTTGACTCCCTTGACCTCTTGAAATATGCCTCCCTTCTATACTACCCCCTCATCAAAGAATCTACTCACCAGTTTTCCCTTGCTTGGTTTCAGCCTTTTTAAACCTAAAAAATAAATTACAAAAAATTTCAAAAATAAACAAATGTGGTAAACAGACAATAGAATATACAGATGTCAGATTATAATGTACACCTGAAAATTATGTAATTGTATTAACCACTGTTACTCCAATAAACTTAATTTTTAAAAAGTTTAAATAAACAGTAGTAGCAAAATATAATGAACCCTCACGTTCTATCATCCAACTTCAACAGTCATCAACTCACAGCCAGTTCCTTAATATGGTGGTAAACAGACAATAGAATATACAGATGTCAGATTATAATGTACACCTGAAAATTATGTAATTGTATTAACCACTGTTACTCCAATAAACTTAATTTTTAAAAAGTTTAAATAAACAGTAGTAGCAAAATATAATGAACCCTCACGTTCTATCATCCAACTTCAACAGTCATCAACTCACAGCCAGTTCCTTAATGTCACATCTAGTCTGTTCACACAATCCAATTGTTCTATAAAATTTTTTACACTTGGCATCCAAATCCAAACAAGGTCCACCATAGTTGGTGAACGCCTCTAAATTTTATAATTTATAATTTATAATCAGGTTCTCCCTTAGCTCTTGCAATGTATTGAAACCAGATAGTTGCCCTGGTAGAACTCCGTTTCCTATAAAGTGGTTATTAGCTCCAGGGGCTTAATGGCTTCTATAACCTTTAAATATCAGGATTGATTCCTCACAACAATGAATAGATAATGGTGTAATTTTAGGTGACAACTTTAGAGCAGAGATTATTCACATTAAATGTAAAGTAGCATCATTTTGGGGAAATTCCTAACTTCTACCTAAGGATTATCGGTGAAAGTAAATAACCTTTTACAGTCATTTATTGAGATTCAGGGTGAAGTCTGCTGTAGGTGTAGGTAGGGACTAAATACCAATGAATTTATACAGGCCGTATTGTGGACCAGGTTGTCTTGCCCTTTGGCGGTGACCAAGGCTGTGCGCTAGTGTGGTGGCAGGACTGAACGGGTATAATTCGGATTGAGTGCAGGTCGCTGGCGGGCAGGCCACCAGGCTGAGACCAGAAGCTCGTAAAGCCTGGGAACCGTAATAAAACTTACGCCTGCACAGACCTGCGCAAGGGGCTTCTGAGCGCTCAGAGACAAGCGTGAGTCAGCAAAGCTCTAGGATGGCTCCAAGATGGACTCGGCTGGTCGCGCAGCGGCAGACGCGCCTTAAGGGAGGGCGTACACTCTAGCAAGGCCAGTGTACTTTATCAACCCCCTGTCTCTCGCGAGGTTCCCACCCGCTGGACCTTTGCTATCTAGCGCCCTGATACACTGTGACTTCCCTTGCACCCGGCCACTGCCGCCTCTGGGATCCCCACCTCCCAGAAGGCAACAAGAACCGCACGTGTGACTTAATTTTTCAGCGGAAAGGGCGGTGCGCAAGCGCAGAGAGCACCTCAGGCGTAGACTCTGAGGGGCGCTTGCGCACGGCTCCTCTAGCCCCATTCACCCCGCCCACCGGGTTCGGCGCACTCCGCGCCTTTCTTACGTCACCATTAGGCATGCGCTTTAGGAGAAGGGCGAGCTTTTGAGGGCAGGGCAAGGGGCGTGCCTTTGCCGAGGTCTGACGGCGACTGCGTGGACGGGAGCCCGACTGGAACATGGCGACTTGCGCTGAAATCCTGCGGAGCGAGTTCCCCGAAATTGACGGACAGGTCTTCGACTACGTGACGGGTGAGCGGAACCGAATCAAACCGCTGGGGAGGCCGAAGTGGAAGTCTGGGATTAAGACTAAGGAAAGGCAGTGCGGGGGTCCGCTGCTAGGCCTCTCCTCTGCGTGACCTCTTGTCCCGAGGGCCGGTTGGGTCTGGAGCCGGGACTGGGGCTGCGGTTCGAGGACTAAAACTGCTTGTATGTCCACCCTACCCGGTATCTTTCTCGTTCTGCCACGCCTGACGCAGGCGTGTTGCACAGCGGCAGCGCGGATTTCGAGTCTGTGGATGACCTGGTGGAAGCTGTTGGGGAACTCTTGCAAGAGGTGTCCGGAGACAGCAAGGATGACGCGGGCATCAGAGCCGTGTGCCAGCGCATGTACAACACTCTGCGCCTGTACGTGCCAGGGCAGGGGGATTTGTGGAGGTATTGGGAGGACGGTCAAGAAACAAGAGGTGAGGGAAGAAGGTCTGATGGCCGTAGAGCTTTTTCCTCAACTCCTAACTCTGCGCTTTGTCTCTACTGTCAAGGGCTGAGCCACAGAGCCAGGGAAACAGCCAGGTGCTCCTAGACGCCCCCATCCAGTTGTCAAAGATAACGGAGAACTACGGTGAGAGTCAGGGAAGATTGAACTAGCTACTCTCTTCTTTTTTCAGCTTTCAGCCCCCAGCCACCTACTCCTTGGAGCTCAGGAATCGTGGTACCTCTTTTCCATAGGATAAGATTGTAGAAGTTAGTTGGTGTTGTTACTGAAGGCAAAAGAGCCCGTTGATGAAGGGAGTAGGGTTGGAAGGCTCTTGTCAATGGTAGGAAGCATATGGGCTTTGGAGCTGGACAGTCTTGGGTTCGCCCTTCCCAATTTTGTGATTTGCTAACCAACTGCATCCTCTTGTAAGAGTTGTTTATCTGCCCCAGTCTCTGTATCCTTAATCTATGAGATTTTCTTTTTTTCTTTTAATTTTTATTTAAGTGTAGGGTGGAGGATAGCTAGCTATCTTCAGTCTTGTAAGGCTTTCCTGAAAATGTTTGTGTCTGGCTCCTATTATGCAAAATGTTAAGTTTCCCTTCCCTCAGGGAGAAGGTGACTGCTTTTCTTATTGCTTACAGACTGTGGCACCAACCTTCCAGGACTGCTAAAGAGGGAACAGTCCTCGGTGAGGAGAAGGAAGAGGGGAAGGGGCTGTGTTAATGGTTGGGGTAGAAGTTGGCTGTCTGTAATATTGGAATATCTTTCTGGGGGATTTCTGATTATGTCATTCCCTGAGTCTTTGTTCGTCATGGGTAAATTGAGATGGTTAATTCAAGATGTTCTCTCTGGGGGTTCCTTTCTGAACCTACATGCTAGGGTGAAATGGTTGTGTTTGGACCCTTAGACAGTGAATGCAAAGAAGCTAGAGAAGGCTGAGGCTCGACTGAAGGCAAAGCAGGAGAAACGATCAGAGAAGGATACACTCAAGACCAGCAGCCCTCTGTGAGTGTAACAAGAAGGGTTTAAAAGAGAGCAGAGCAGTGTCTATGGGGACGAAAGGGTGGTTGGAAGTGTTAAAAGCTATCCATTTCTTTCTTTAAAAGAGTCTTGGAAGAGGCTTCAGCCAGCCAGGCAGGCAGCAGAAAGGAGAGTCGTTTGGAGTCATCTGGCAAGAACAAATCCTACGATGTGCGAATTGAGAATTTTGATGTGTCTTTTGGCGACAGGTGAGGGAGTGAGTGGCACTTGGATGTGTGTGGTGTTTTTCTCTTTCCACTTAAAGGAGGATTCGGAGAGGTGAAAATAATTTAGGTTTCTGTTAAACTTGCTATATACTTAATGTCTAGAGTACCCTTTATCTTCTTCCTGCTACCTGCAGGGTACTGCTGGCTGGTGCAGATGTGAACCTGGCATGGGGCCGCCGCTATGGGCTGGTGGGTCGGAATGGGCTGGGGAAGACGACGCTGCTAAAGATGCTGGCCACCCGGAGCCTGCGGGTTCCAGCCCATATTTCCCTGCTGCACGTAGAGCAGGAGGTTGCTGGAAATGACACCCCTGCCCTGCAGAGTGTGCTGGAGAGTGACACTGTGCGAGAAGACCTCCTGAGGCAGGAGCGGGAGCTCAGCGCCCAGATTGCTGCTGGCAGGTGAGGTTCTCCAGGTTAGGGAATAACAAGAGCAGCGTGAATATGAGGCACAGCCCTCCTTCATAGAGTACCTGCCGTATTGTCACAATCTATAATTCACACGCTTATCCCAATGAGCAGCAGAGCTTAGAATTCAGCACTGTGAGGTTCTCAAACCCTTGTTCCTTTCACAATGTCCACGGCCCTCACCGCTTTGAGTAAGTCCTTCCTGTACTCTATTCCTGTCCCAGCAACAAGGCAGCCAGTGGCCTGCTTTCCAGTTGCTTAGGATGCAGGACATCCTTTTGAACTGCCCCCACTCAGGCTGATTGCTCTTCCTCCCATTCCCACCACAGGGCCAAGGGCTCAGAAGCTGCACAGCTGGCAGAAATCTATGCCAAACTAGAAGAGATTGAGGCTGACAAGGCACCTGCCAGGTATTTGAAATTCCCTCATCCTTCCTTCACATTTCACCTTTCTCTTCTGTTACCTGTTCCAACTGGGTTCTTCAACTTCTTCACCCATAGGGCATCAGTCATTCTTGCTGGGCTTGGCTTTACTCCTAAAATGCAGCAACAGCCTACCCGGTAGGTGGCCCTTGCCATTCTTGTATTTGAATACCGTTGGCTCTGCCCCTGCCTGCCCTGGTGAACACCCTCCTCTGATGCAGCTCTCTCTGTCTTTAGGGAGTTCTCAGGTGGCTGGAGGATGAGACTGGCCCTAGCCCGGGCCTTGTTTGCTAGGTGAGTTTTCTGGGCCTTGGCTCTTGGGAAGTAGCAGTGAGTCACTGATCTAAAACCTCAAGCCATGCATTTTTCTTTTTCTTAGACCAGATCTTCTCTTATTAGATGGTGAGTTTGAAATGGGGCATCATGACTTCAGGATGGGGAAGGGTGGCAGTACCCAAGTTCCTAGTTCTCTAGCCCTTTAATCCCATATGTGTCCCCCCCCCCCATACACTTTTTAAGAACCCACAAACATGCTGGACGTAAGAGCCATCCTATGGCTGGAGAATTACCTGCAGGTAAGTGCCTATAGGTGCTGGAGTACATCTGGGGAAAGTCTGCCTCCAAGACACCTGGGAGACTGGAAGCTGACTGCCCTCCCAAACTGGGCCTGCCGTCCTGTGACCCCTCTCAGACGTGGCCCTCTACAATCTTGGTTGTCTCCCACGACCGAAACTTCCTGAATGCCATAGCCACAGACATCATCCACCTGCACAGCCAGCGGTTAGATGGTTACCGAGGAGACTTTGAGACCTTCATCAAGAGCAAGCAGGAGCGGCTACTCAACCAGCAGCGTGAATATGAGGCACAACAGCAGTATCGTCAGCATATCCAGGTATGAGAGCAGGCAGGGCTGGGATCTGCATCCCATGGGTATTAGAGTTGTAGGGTCTAAGGGAGCCTGACCAATGCCTCCACTCATCCACTCGCAGGTTTTTATTGACCGGTTTCGCTACAATGCCAATAGAGCCTCTCAAGTACAGAGTAAACTCAAGATGCTCGAGAAGCTGTGAGTACAATGTTCTTGACCAGGTCCTGACTCCTGTTCTCTGCCTCATTTTGCAGGCCACCCCTTACCCTCCCATTCTAGGCATCCCCCTTTCTGGAAACCAACTTTAACCCCCTCCTCTGTAGAAAAGAAGAGTATTTTGTACTGCCTTCTGTTAATCTTGCCGCCAGACCTCAGCAACCACTATACTACTTTCTGTCTGTATGTTTGCATGTTCTGAATATTTAATATAAATGGAATCATAACAACATAACCATTATGTCTGGTTTCTTTAGCTTAGCATGTTTTTGAGTTTTATCCATGTCGCAGCATATATCAGTGCTTCATTCCTTTTTATGGGCAGATAATGTTCTCTTGTATGGATATATCACATTTATTTATTGAATCATCAGTTGATGGACATTTAGATTGTTTTCATTTTTTGACTCTTATGAATAATGCTGCTATGAACATTTGTATACAAATTTTTGTGTGGACATATGTTTTCAGTTCTCTTGAGTACATACCTTAGAGTGGAATTGCTGGGTTACATGGTAATTCTGTGTTTAACTTTTTGAGGAACTGCCAAACTGTTTTCCGAAGCAGCTGTGCCATTTTACATTTCTACCTGCACTGTATGACGGTTCCAATTCTCCACACCCTTATCCATGTTTATTATCTGTCTAATTTTAATCATTCTACTGGGTATGCCATGATATACCATTGTTATTTTGATTTTCATTCCTTAGTGACTAAGGATGGTGAGCATTAAAGGTTTAATCTTGACACAACCTTTCTAGAAGTACTGGTGGTAGGAAGCCTAAAATAAAATCATAAGGCTTAGGATTTTGTGATATTGAAACATACATCATAATATGTTAACTGGGAGGACAAAAAGGATAATCTTATTTTTTCAGCATATCGTGAGTTAGGAGAATGTACAGTCATGCACTACTTAACGACGGGGATGTGTTTTGAGAAATGCGTTATTAGGCAATTTTGTCGTGTGCGAACATCATAGAGTGCACTAATACAAACCTAGATAGTATAGCCTACTACACACCTAGGCTGTAGGGTATAGATTATTGCTCCTAGACTACAACCCTGTACAGCATGTTACTGAGCTGAATACTGTAGGCAGTTATAATAATTGTAAGTATTTGTGTATCTAAAACTAGAAAGGTACAGTAAAAGTATAGTTTAAAAGATAAAAAAATAGTATACCTACTATGAAGGGAGCCTGCAGGATTGGAAGTTCCTGTGGGTGAGTTAGGGAGTGGATATGAAAGCTTAAGACATTACGTGATTGTAGACTCTTTAAACACCGTATGCTTAGGTTACACTAAATTTATAAAACCATGAGGTTAAATCAAACACAGGGGAAAATGATGCAATCAGGAGATGCGATCAGGGTATATGAGGCTGCTGCCAGCATGAAACAGCATACTGTTTTACAGCAAACTTTGTATAAATAGAGTGCACTTTAAAACAAAAAAAAGTATAATAAATACATAAACAGGTAACATAGCCATTTATTGCCATTATCAAGTATTATGTCCTATGACTAATTATTTGTGCTATACCTTTACATGACTGGCAGCATGGCAGGTTTGCTTATACTGGCATCACCACAAACACGTCAGTAATGTGTTACGCTGTGATGTTATGATGTCACTAGGCAGTAGGAATTTTTCAGCTCTTACAATCTATGGAACCACCTTTGTATGCAGTCTGTTGTTGATTGAAACATCGTTATGTGGTGCATGACTGTATTCTAAATTAAGAATGTTATCTCGGTGTTGGAAATATAAGCTATTTCCACGTTTTCTCTGAAAGTATATTACTTATGTGATAAGAACAAATAGTTATTTTTTTAAAGTCATAAATATAGAGCGCCCCCTTTCTCCTCAGACCAGAGCTGAAACCCGTGGACAAGGAGTTGGAGGTAGTGATGAAGTGAGTGCTGGGTCAGAGGGACTGGTGGGGAAGCTCTTGTTTCTGGCCCGCCTGGTGCTCTTCACCTCCACCTCTTGCAGGTTCCCTGATGGGTTTGAGAAGTTCTCACCACCAATTCTGCAACTAGATGAAGTGGATTTCTACTATGATCCTAAGCACGTCATCTTCAGCCGTCTCTCTGTCTCTGCTGATCTTGAGTCTCGCATCTGTGTGGTATGATTACTATTTCCCTGTTCCATGAGCTGGGACTCTCCCACCTCCATATGTACTGTGGATCGGCCCAGACCCTCATTCTGCAGAGGGAAGAAGTTCACAGGAGCGGGAGTCAGGGCCTGAGCCAAGGACTTTTCTGTACTAAATTGTCCCTATCCTTCAACTACACAGGGCTGCCCAGCAGAGATGAAAAGCCTGGCATGTGGTACTTTGTGAATACTTAGAGCAGTATTTTGTCTTCTTGGTCTCAGCTCTGAGTTTTCTTAAACCGTGGAACATAAAGGAAAGCATAGGCTTCAGGTTCAGATTTCAGATCCTGAACGTCATTTTCTAGCTTAGTTACTAAGCAGTTTTTTTTGTCCTTAAAAGGGAGATAACAGCTACCTTACTTGGTTATTGGGAGAATTAAATCCCCAGCACTTAGTTGGTGCTCGGGTATATAAGTTCTCTTTGCATCTTTAATACTTCCTTCATTTTTCTCTTTAGTTCCTTAAAAATATTTTTTTAATTGAGTCACTGAGACTACCCAAGACCAGTTCTCATCTCCTTCCCTCTGTGTCTCACACACATGCACTCTTTAAAATTGTAGGTGGGAGAGAATGGAGCTGGGAAGTCTACCATGCTGAAGCTGCTTATGGGGGACCTGACACCTGTTCGGGGCATCAGACATGCTCACAGGTAGGGCCTACGCCTCCACTCCCCAACTAGTCATACACTGTAGCTACAGTCCTTTATGGTCATTATCCTCCATCCCCTTTTCTACCATCATTTCTGTTTGCAGGAATCTGAAAATTGGCTATTTCAGCCAGCACCATGTGGAGCAGCTGGACCTGAATGTCAGTGCTGTGGAACTGCTGGCACGCAAGTTTCCTGGTGTGTTAGGGATTTGAGTTGAGGAAAGAGGGCCAGGGTTGACGTCTACAGCTAGACCTACCTTGGGGAGGTGCGGAGCAGCCCTCCCGAGTCTAGGTGTAAGGACATGGGCATTTGGAAGTGGGCTGGGGAAGGGGGAAGGGAGGGAGTTGGGCCATGATGGGGTGGACCCTGTTCCAGGACGGCCTGAGGAGGAGTATCGTCACCAGCTGGGCCGGTATGGCATCTCTGGAGAACTGGCCGTGCGCCCTGTTGCCAGCTTGTCTGGTGGCCAGAAGAGCCGGGTAGCCTTTGCTCAGATGACCATGCCCTGGTGAGGCCCCATTTTCTAGAGCTCTTACCCTCCCCTTCATCCCCTCTTGCCTTTGTATCAGAGGAGTTCATTTTCTCCCACCCTTATATAACTGACCACACCTTCCTGGGTTCTGCCTTCTAGCCCCAACTTCTACATTCTGGATGAACCCACAAACCACCTGGATATGGAGACAATTGAGGCTCTGGGTCGTGCTCTCAACAATTTCAGGGTGAGTAGGCCTTCACACTGCCCATTCTTCCCCAGACCTCAGCACTCCTTAAGGCCCCCCTGAGAGCCTTCTGTCTCCTGTCTTTCAGGGTGGTGTGATTCTGGTGTCCCACGATGAGCGCTTCATCCGGCTGGTGTGCCAAGAGCTGTGGGTGTGCGAAGGAGGCGGCGTCACCCGGGTTGAAGGGGGATTTGACCAGTACCGTGCCCTTCTCCAGGAACAGTTCCGCCGTGAGGGCTTCCTCTAGAGCCATTAGGCTGAAGACTGTGCCCAGGACATGGACTGGTCTTTCAGACCCCAGGGCCACCATAAAGCCAACCATCTCCAGGCTACAGACTTCCCCTGACTTTGGAGACAGCCTTGTCCTCAAATCTCTCCTTTTGACTGGCATTCTCTGTACAATCCAGGGAGCCTCATCTAAGGGTCTGTGAGGACTGGTCTTCCAAGTGGAAGAGGTGGGAGGTGCCCTCTGGGTTATAGATTCCCCCCACTGCCCCAGCTGTGACTGGGCCCCAAGTGGCTGCTGTGTAAATTAAATCTCCCTTGCCTCAACTCTGCTGTTCTCTGGTAGGGCTACAGTGTGTTAAGTGGTGTGGGCTGTCTGATTTGGCGTTTTCCTATGACACTTGTATCAATCACACAGAGGAAGCCATGGCATCACTAGCCTTGTCCTTGGAAGGAGACATCATTAAAGCCATTGGGGCTTGGAGGTCATCTGCATGAGCTTGTGGTGGGCTGAGCTGGTGAGATGAAGGGAACTGTGTTACAGCACTTTGGTGTTCCCTATAGTCTGAGCTCAGCCTCAGATGAAGGGGTCTTGGATTCTGCTGTCTCAGCCTCACTGCTTGCAAGAGTGAACTGATTCTGTAATCCAATTTGGCCTTAGACATGGTTTGCCAACTGCTTTCTCCAGTGGTCTCTGGCCCAGGTTCACCTTGCTTTTCTGATCTGACCCTCAGATGAGGCTGAAAAGAATCCGAGAAACTGTCTTTGTCCCTATTTTGCTTGGATGGTTTCATTTCTTTATTTTTCCTCTGTGTAGGAGAGGCCTAGGAAGTAGGGAATTGAGGGGGATCTAATAGGAAGAAATAGAGCACTCTTTTCAAAATAGAGCGCTCTTTCCAAGCAGTCTTTAAAAGGGGGTGTTTAACAGAGATAGTATGATTTATAAATATTGTTTCTTGAGGACTTAGCTGCTTTATGTAATTGCTACACAGAAGACACTAAAATAGAGACATTGCTTTGCTCTCTTGACAGCAGAGAAACCAGAGTCAATAGAAGGAACTTACTGGCTTCATGGAGAATTGTAGTCACAAAGCTCAACCAAGGAATCTTAACTCAGCTACTGGGGTTATTATGGTATAGGGAGGAGAATAAAGGCAGAGAGGCTCTGTAGATTTACCACAGAGCTGTTAGTGATGGATGGATGAAGCCAGCAAAAGCACCACTAATGAGCCTGCCTCCTCAGTCTCCCTCCCTCTTTAAGAAGTCCAGAGTTGTTCTTCCAGCTGTGTCTATGGCCGTGTGTACCTTCATACTCCTGAGAGCCTTCTCACAGCCCCCATCTCTTTCTGCCAACCTCAGACCTGCAGATGAGCCAATTGGAGGCCATCTGATAAAGGATCTGCACCTGCTTGTTTGCCAGGTTCTCAACTTCACCCCTCAGGCTTGTGAATCCAAATATGAATTCTCCCAACTCAGAGTAGATGGAAGTGTAGCAGAAAGGTTGTGACACAGAATCTGCTTCTTTTGCAGGTAGGTTGCTTTGTATATAAAGAGCACTGGAGTTGGAGTTGGGTCTAAGATCAAATCCCAGCTCTGTTGCTGGTAAGAGAAGGGATCACCAATATTAGTTGAGTAACAAATCAGTTAACCTTTTTGAGTATCTCCTACTTGTGGTTTCTTTATAGGATTGTTATGAGGATTAGCTGACAAACATAATACATATGTACTCAGAAAATGATTCTTGTGTGACCAGTCTATGATTTGAAAGACTGTCATATGGGAAAAGTGACTCCAAGGGTAGACCAGTTTGGGCTCAAAGGAAGGAAAACTTTTAATAACTCATGCGGCCTTCCGAGAGTGAATTCCAGTCTCTGGGACTATTCGGCCCTGCCAGGCTCTAGAGAAGGGCTCTCTTTCGGGTAAGAGACAGCATTAGATGGCTTCTGGGTTGGCTTCCAATTTCATGATTCCATGAACAACATGAGAGGAGCTTGTGTAAATGACAATATGGGCCTAAGCTGCAGGCCTTCAGAAAATTGAATAAATTGCAGCAGCTAAGAAAGACCTTACAATAAGCGATTAGAGGTGGGGAGTTGGCAGAAGATAGTTGTCTTGAGGGCAAATGTAGACAATGTTAGCTCCATTCCAGAAAGCACAGAGTAGAGAGTAATCTGACATGCAAGTGTGGGAGCCCTCAACCACAACAGACTGCCTGTCATGGTGGCACCCCCTTTCAAGCTTTGGAGAGCCCGTCTAACCCCAACAATTGTGAAGCTCATCCTTTCACAGCTGGACACTGGAGCTGCCCTTCTGACATCAGGCCTTAAAGCCAACAAGCTAGCCAGGTTTAAAGGCCTCAGTCTATAGAGTCTTTTGAAATCCTGGCTTCTGCTGGCTTCCATAGACCTGGCTCGTCCCCAGAAAGAGGCAGAGTGCAGAGGCACAGAGGGGTTCTGAGTCTCCGCATCAGTCTTCAAGGCACTCAAAGATGCCAGTCAGAATTGTTTATTTCACTGTGGTATTTGTTGGACATAGACAACATTTTGCCAAGTTCTCATTTTCCCTGGTTTCCAGGCAAATTTTAGCAGAGTAGGAGAGATAGTGCCATTTAACCCTTGCTGGCCATGCCCCCAGCCTAGTTTGTCATTTTAGAAGGTAACATCCTAGTGAGAGCCATTCCCAGGCCTGAGTCTAGCCCACCCCTAGATGGAAACTAAATGACACCCCAACCCCTCCAGTATCATCCCAGAGATCTACACCAGCCTTAGCATGCAGACTGGATATCCGAGCCCGTGGGAAATCTTAGGCTAGCTGACTGGATCCACAACCTGGGTGAAGGGCCTCTAGGATCCTAGAGTGATGGACTCCTCTTAATCTTGCCCCGCTCTAAGTGGGCTTCATTGCACTTTACCTCCTCCATTATAAGCTGCTTTCTATTAAAGCTGTAGATCCCATTTTGCCTTGGTATCCAGGAAGGACAGGCCATGGCTTGCTCACCTTTGCATATCCTGGGCCCATCACAGGTTGGGTTTCCTGAGAAGCAGCTTGAAGAGGAAGTCAAGGTGTTGATTAGAGGGTGCTCCGGGGACCAACACCAGGATTGAGCAGAGGGAGAAGTTGAGCAGCAATGAAGGTTTCAGCTCCACATTTCTGGAGCTCTGTAACCCTGCAGAGCTGTCTTGAGGCAATGGCTCAGGACTTTATTCCACTAAGTTGATGGGTCTTTGGATGCTGGCTGTTACCAGAAGGATGTGGAGGTGTGAAAGTTGGAAGAGGAAGTTTTCTTCAGCTGAGGCAATTCCTCCTGAAAGGACTGACAGCTGAGGACTTTCTGCTATCTGCACTCTCAGCAGCAAGTTCTTCATTTCTGAAAGGGAGTCTGGGTAGCTCATTACAGCATCCACTACAGTGCCTAGCACATAAAAGGTGCTCAATAAAAATGCTTGCAAAATGAATTATTTTGGGAAAGTTATTTGGGAAAAAGTGGAGAATGATATTGGAGAAGGAGAAAACAAAAAACGAGAAACCAGCAAGAAGACCATGACCAAAATCCAGCCACCAGGGCACGGGGTTAGCATGGTGGAGGTGGAGGTGGAGGCGAGACTAAGGAGGATGGTGAGCAGACTCAGCAAGGGCTTGCCAGCTCTGCCCAAACAGGTGAGGACTTCTTTTTCTGGGCCAGAGTCTTGAAACGAAAAATAAATGAAAACTTCAGGACATGAGACAGATTAAAGAGACCCTTTTTGTTTTTAAACCTCCCCTTGTTTTCTTTCAAGACGATGCTAAGGAAATAATGATAGTTAATATTTATTGAGCTCTTATTGTATAACAGGCACTGTAGTAAATGCTTTACCTGCTGTAACTCACAACCTTATGAACTGGCGCAGTTATTATCCCCATTTTATAGCTGAGGAAGCAAGGAATTGGCATAGTGAGTGGCAGGACTGGGATTCAGGCCAGTTTGGCCTAGAGTGCAGCTCTGAACTGTCACACTGCACTCTCTCAGCTCTTAGTATGACCTGAATAGTCAGTTTGTGCATTCCATCACTTAAAACTCATTAATGGCGTGGGGTGGGATGTGGGAGGTGGGGGATTTGAACAAGCTTCTCTCAGGAGAGCAAACTGATGAGTAGGAGCACCTGGCACTAGCTGACATGGTAGGTGTTCAGTGAGTAGTTAAAGTAATGATTAAAAATGTGATGTGGTGGAAAAGTCATGCACTGGGATTAGTCCAGCTCTACCACTAACAGCATCTTGGGCAAGTCAACCTCTCCGGAGTAAATTATTTTTATCCATAAAATGGGCATTACACAGTTTGTCTTGCCTGCTTCTCAGGTATTTGGAAGGATTAAAGGAGATGAAGTCCTGTGTAAACTGAATACAATTTTTTTGTAAACCGTGAAGAGATATAGATCCAAAGGGTGTCATTTCATAGATGAAGTGATGGAGTGGCAGTCTGGAGCCTCCTCTGGAGACACACAGACTGACACATGAGCATACAAACACTCTAGGCCATCATCAAGATGACTGCCCCAGAAAGGCCACTTCTTTGCGGAGCCAGGCATCAGAACACACATGCAGGAGCGCAGCATAAGGCTGTCTGGCACCTGCCGAGTTGCTTGGGGCAAGACAATCCACTATGCAATTGAAACTCATTCTAATAACATGTATAGGTCATGCCCTGTTGGTAATTCTAGGTTTCTATTTTCTTTATGTTAAATAAATGGGTGGTTTGGAAGTGATTTGGGCTTTATTGTATATAATGAGACCTTCGAAACCCTAAATTAGAATAAATATTCGTCAACCCTTGCTATGGCATTTTTAACACTGAGAAATGCTTTTGCAAGGTATTAAGTAGCTCCTGCTGAGTTATTCCCATTTCACAGAACTGGAGTTTGAGGCAAAAAGATATGAAGTGTCTTGCTTAGGTTCAGATACCTCTGTGCATGTAGAATGGGGCAAGAACTGAAGTTTCTGGGTCCCCAGCCTTATTACATCTCTCCAGATCACTATTCTCAGCTTTGTTCCACAGTTATCACACAATGGGTGACATTCTCACCTCACACATGCCCACGTGCATACTCAGGGTCATGCAACCTTCTGTCCTTTTAGGGAAGTGTTTTAAACCTGGCATGAGGGGGAGTGACTATGAATCTAATCTAATCAGAATTCCTAGTAGTTCCATAAATGTTAGCCATTACAATGATTATTAGTGTTTGTTGTGACCCTCAGTGTTTTATTAATTTTTAATGAGATATTATTTATGATGGCTTATGGCTGAAACCACTGTATTTAGTCATGGCGCCTCAGCCAAAA